ATTATTTTAGTTACCTATGATTGGCTCTTGCCAACAAGCAATGAACTCAGCAAGGATGGCACGGATCACCGTGTTATGAAACGGGCCCCGTTCCGCGTTTTTGTAAACGACCGGACAGTAACGGGGCCCGTTACTATCTGGTATTCTAGAGTAGAATGTTCAACGCAGTCTAACAGACATCGTCGTCAGATAAGTGTGAGAACTTATGGAAATATAAGTAAGGCAAGTCTTAAGGTCCTATTATATAGTTTTATATTATGCTAAGAAGTTTTATATCTTATTCAGTATCTAGTTTGAGTCGGTTAGTATACAATAGTGTCAGATAAGTGTGAGAATGAAGAATAAGTGGGGTTAAGATGATCTTGCCTATATTTAGAAGAACCTCGACGCGTGCACGGGCCAGATTCTGTGTAATTCGGCACATTACAACGAGCCGCCCTTGTTACAGTACTAGTGGTTGTAGCCTAGTAACATTCTGCCTGAGACATTAACGTGGCGTTGCTGCGTCAAAGAGGGGTACTCCATCAAAACAAACAACAGACGCAAGACAAGCACAATTCAACATAACCAGCAATTATACAGTAAAATGCCGGATTCACGAGTTTTCGCATGATCAAACAATTACCTGAATCATTTGAATATCTACCAGTGCAATTACAATCATCATCGCAGCCCAAGCCCTGTAATAAACGCAAAGCCTTCCAACCGCCAAGTCCTCCACCAACTATCTCCAACGATATGGACGAGACGCCAACTGGCCGGAAACGACCACGGCTAGACCCTGCTGACCCTTATAAAACGCCTATTGGGAGACCTCGAGATGAGACAGCCCCCAGGCGCAACCCGTCAAAGGCGTCGTCAATGTCGGGTTCCAGCGCCTCATCCTATCCATCGCGCTCATCATCGCCATTGAAGCAGCAGATCATGCGTCTACGCATTGACGATACAGGTTTCGACATACGCGATCTCAAAGTTGACAATCCTCCAAGCCCAGAGGTTGACCATCTTTTGCAGAACTTGAACGATATCGGGAGTGGCCTTGAGTTTTCCCTGATAATCTGCGTGATGAGATTCTGGAAGCCCCATGTTGTAAGGCAAAGACACACACCCTTGGAGGTTCTCTTTCAAAGTGCTAGTGACTTTGGGCATCTTCCAGGACGTATCCCTTCTCCACAAGAAGTGTCGCTGGTGTATGAATGCGCCAAAGACTGTCGCGACTTTGGGCATGAAGAAGCAGGTTGGAATGCAGAAGTACACCAGCGTCTGCTAGAAGCTGTCTTTAGAGAGCCTGGAAAGACGAGAGGAGGACTGTACAACTTTACAATGTCGTAAGTATCCATCAACCGACTCGTCAAACCCATGCTAACTCATGCCTCGTAGCACCACTGCTCGGCCGCATTCAATGTGGCTACCCAAGTCAATTAGAACCAAAATGATTGACTTTTGTATATATGTCGACTTACAACAAGAGGAGCCAGAGTCCTTTCAAGCGCTCGAGTCTCTTTGCAGAACAACACCCACCACCACGGTCAATCATACCGACTTCGAGCGACTGCAGTTTCGTCCCATTGTCCTGAGTATTGAGACTAAGGGCCCAGCTCCAAGACTAGACACTGCAGAGGTCCAAATGGGGGTATGGCATGCAGCGCAGTGGAAATTCCTCCGTTCAACAGTGCTTGCGTCATTACACAGCTCGGAAGAAGCAGAAAAACAGGCTGACGAGATACTATCCCGGTTACCATTCATCCCTGGTGTTATCGTTCAGGGTCATCGGTGGTATTTTGTTCTGTCGACATGGCACGGCTCAAGGACTACTTTTTGGGCTGAACGACTGTTCAGAAGCACCCAAAGTTACAGGGAACTATATCAGGTTATAGCAGGGCTAAGGCACTTGACTTCTTGGGTAGACAAGTTCTACTTGCCCTGGTTTCGAGCACATATCTTGCCCAAGGAAACTTTTGCTAGTGGATGAAGCTGTCTCATCTACCTGCTCTTGTACTACTCTCACGGCTTTGTGATGGGTCTCACAAAACTTTAACAGCATGACTTTTTTGTCGTCACCAATTGTAAACGACCGGCCGTCAGGAGCCCAAGTTAGGTTGCCTGGAACTCCTTCTCGTTTACGATAGATTTCCCAAATGCCTTCAGTTCTATTAACTCTCCGAATGGTATATAGCAACCCCGTAGAAGATATTTGCAACGGATGGACGAAATGCGACCGGGTTGTGACGGATAAGCTGTCCGACAAGGCCAAGCCAAGTCAAGACTATTGTAGGCATAAACGGGGACGGCGTACTCGAAGAACAGAAGCCTCCTAATCCACATGAGGGCAGCTAGTCTAGGTGATGAACCATGGCTGAATGAAAAGCAAGGACGGTCTCTGGATTCTTAAGAAGGCTGTATAGTGAATAATGGCATATGCAGACATATCTCCGGTAGGTTCCTGGTACGTCCAGAACATCATCGAAAGTTGAAAATGGCCTTAGATAAGTGCAGCTAAAGACCAGACGGAAGAGAAAACGCCGAATCTGAAGTTAACGCATCTTCACCATCATTTAAATCGCAATAATTGATCTTTTTCGTTGAAATGATTCTCAGTCTTGACTCCGTCGTACTCGCTGATATACTCCTCATCATCTCCGTCACCATCGTCATCTTCATCTTCATCTTCATCATTACAGTCACTGGAATTATCCGCTTCTTCCTCAAGTGCTTCGTCCAGATTCCAGTTAGAGAATTCAGCCTCGCGCTATAAAAGAGCAACCAGATACAATATATGACGCATCATGATGGTTTCATCGCGTCCGAGTTATAAGTTATAGATCTCTTGCTGCTGATGTGTTTTAAAATGTAGAACCCTAAACACATAACAAATGAACCATTTCCATATATCAACATATCGTCTCAGGCAATCTACAAATTTGAATTCGCAGGGCCAAAAGCTGTCTTTCCAATACGTATTCAGCCAGCATGGAGATCTATATAAAGTCTTCACTAGCGTGAACCTGGCTCGATCCACTATGAGGTCGACACCACGGAGAATAACTCATAGCTGAGCTTCTACGGTGGCTGGGCTTCGGAGTGCTGTATCGTGCCACTGGCCCAACAGATAATCTTCGCTCCATGCTGGTTTGGGCTTTTTTTGCTGTAGCCGCACTGATGCCAAGCGGACGATTATGGAATAGGCGAGGCCATCCTGTATGCTGCGCCATGGCGTTGTTTCATTCCGTTCGACGTCCTGATCATCAGGCTGATGGTCATGGTGCTTTGGAGGCCACATGTTTGAAGATAGTCAGGGTCGCCAGAGTAGTCAATGCATCATGGCAAAAGTGGACGACTGACAAGAATAAGAATCAATCGAGGAGGGCGAAATCTTTGTTGCATATATACTGGCGTCAGTAGAGCCCTTGCTATATTTCTACGGCGCGGTCACGAAACACGCGCGGTCAAGATATCGATTTGCACGTAGGCGCCCATGAGGTAGTATCGGTCTGCGCCACAAAAGTAAAGCTAGCTGCGCAGGTTGCGTCGAAGGAACAAACTAGCCAATGAGAAGGTTTATCACGCACTTTTAATCAAAAACTCTGCTGGGACCTCTAAAAACACTGTCCCTCTTTCAGTGAAAGAGGATTTTACAAGGGTATGAGCCAATGAGAGGAGGTGAATTTCCCCTTTCGCTGAAATTGGGACTGACAATAGGGATGTAGCAACTACCGATGATTGAGAATGAGGAATGGGATTGGGATTAAGAAACAAATCCGCTACCAAAAGAGGGGCGTTATGATGATCAAAGCTTGGCTTCATAGGGCCGTCATATATAACATAGGTTCGAAAGATGGAATCCATTGGTTTGTTCTAGCTTTCATTATCAGGGAGGGGGAGAAAGAAAGAGGGATTGTAGTTAGTTCTTTGACAGTGAAAGTATGTCACGTCCTCGTCATAGTGACTGGGTAAGGTATTTTCATTACATCAACTTGGTATCAATATTGATAGGGTCCCAAATCTAGTGCTGTCTGCAAGCTTCACCTTATTATTTTTATTTTTATTTTTTATTTTCCGGCCATGCTAATCATGGGATTTTGTGTGGTGAGCGTAAATAGATCGGCAGTCTGTTAAAGGTGGGGGCAGTCGAGCTGGATGGCCATGCCATTGGGCCTAGAGTAATACACCCAGACAGAGAGCTGAATTTTGATGGCGCCTCACTCACTCTCTAAATCTGTTCAAAGTTACGTTCTTACGGATGAAACGCCTAGAAAGGGGTCCGCTAGGGCTTCCTATCTCGACAATCTTGACTCCAAGCTCTGCAGCAAGAGTATCGTAGAAGTGGCGTCTAGGCGCTTCGTGCACTTAGCGATATTCAAAGCTCAGTCTTATTATTATCGCTCATTTACAACACCCACGAAGAGCCTTACGGCTTAATATTATATCCCGCTGCTCTTCCGATCTCGAACGAGAATACGAATATCTTCTGCGAGTCTGGTTCTCAGTTATGATGAACTGTTCCGCCTTACTCGAAAGTACGTTCCCGCCTGGCCTGTACCTTCATGCCTGTCTCTTAGGGCGAAGTCCCCTGCAGTAGTAGGTCTGAGGCCTTGGCCATCTGTAAGACTCCGATAGGATTACTATTCTTCCGTATGCAGTTGAAGATCTCTTGTGCCTCTTCAGTTGACCGTGAGTGTATCAGGGCGTATAGCTCGCGTAGCTCTTCCAACTCGGTGATCACTTCGCTATTTCGACTCTCCAGGGCTGATATCTTCTTTTCCTTCTCATCGGTGCGGTAGATGCAAACTGTGGTGGTTTCAATGCAGCGCTTACACATAGGCCTACCGCCAGTACACTGCACTGATTTTAGTTGCATGGTTCCTGAATAGAATCAATAACCAAGTTAAGGGAGGTCTTACTCGCGTCTTCTTCTTTCGACAGGATTCGCAAGCCGCGTGAGTTCCTGCTCGGGGAATCTAGGTTATGCCTGAAAGCGAAGATTGAGACTGAAAGGTGGAGGCATCTTCTATTGAACACGATGCTGGTGTAGTATTGGGAAGCAGTGGCCGGTATTTACTCGACATAAGAAGCCTGGCGGGATTGCAGGCATGCTAAGGGTTTCCCCGTGGCGAGAAGGATATTATAAGTGATCCTGATTTGATTTCGCCCCGTAAAGTAAAGTAGCGCTGCCGCCTGAGGCGAAATCGTGTTTTGTCTAGGAGAGAGAGACTGTTAGAGAGAGGCGATATTAACAAAGACTACGTGACTGGAACGGTGGAGGTCACCCTCCGATTTTACTTTCAGTCCTCGTCTCCTGTTGCTGTTTATCTCGCAGATGGGCGAATCATGGGCTGCAGGAGGGTTAAATAATCTGACATATGGTTTTTACGTCATATAAACATCAGAGATGAGCCTAGGCCTCTTCAATGAGGAGACAAGTTCGGAACTCCTGAGGATCGCTCAATCCAAATGTGGTCACCGCTAACATTGTTCCAAGTGCATCGTATTCTGTAACACGGCAACGTTGTGTGTGTTTCTTAATTTTATCCAAGTTTACCGTCGGCAACTTGGTTCGGCGATGCCCCGAATGAATGACAAGATTTCTTTTGCGTCTGTCATACCTATTGGCTTTATGTGGTGCCAAAGCCCCAGTAATTTTGGAGGTTTTAGAGGCGGAAAAATCAACCATAGCCGGGAATAGCATTATCCCACCTATTATTACCGCAAAGACATGAATTTTTTACTATGCCCTATGTATCATTGGCATCACGTTTATATCGAAGAAGATAAGCGGTAAATAGAATAGTAGCCACACAGGATATTAAATAATTTTGAGGGTAAATTTGTCCTTAGAATATTCGTGCTGCGACTATATTTCCCTCTGGAAAATCATGAGTTGTTCAGGAACTCCTGGCAACTGCTATTATATTCGCTCTCTTCTGCTCCAGCACTAGCAGCAGAACTATAATTATCCCATTAGACGATGCCTGTAGTGGTTTTCTTGTTCGGTGTAGCAGCGGCCTCCCGAATGCGGTTAAGCAAGATCCTCGCCGCAGTTTCTTGATTAACACGATACAGGTTCTAGTCTCGAGACAATTCGTCTGGAACTTCACCAGCATCGACGCCGCTGCTAACATCGACGCCCTTAGAGTAGCTATCGGAATGGCATGAGTTCGTCCATCAGCTCATATGCTCCTCTGTCGACCCAATATTATCTGCATCTATAGATAGGTCATCATCTTCGCCGGACGTGGAATTATCGGTGCTAAACGGCGGGAAAAACCTGGCAGGGGATGGCAGTGGAACTGGTATCAGTCTCTCGATGCGCCATGACAGATACTCAATCCCGATAGACGGTGATTCTTCGATTGTTTTTGCTTCTGAACCGCCGGGGGCGGGACAAGAAGTTAATATCGCTGCCCGTCGATGAATGATCCCCTCTATGCTTTCATTCGACCTCCCACTCTGAGGCTCGGAAGACCATGGGAGGATATCTTGCTTGGGCCGCTTCGTATCGACCACTACCATAAAGTGATCATCGGGGAGAACACCACCAAGTCCGCAGGGTTCCAAGGGCTGTTGCCCCATGTACTGCTGATCGTCGTTCCAAATCAAATCCAGCTCGATATCGCTGCTTTGTTCACTGTCATCGTTTATCAGGCCCTGAACTTCATTATTATCCTCGCCCATGGCTGGTGTCTGCCGACGCAGGTCTTGGCATCGATCCGTCAACGGCCTGTAACCGATGAAGGACCCGGATGTTGTTCGTCGAGGAGACCGAGCGAATTCTGATGGTTGCTGAGAATCCTTTCTAGTTTGGGCGCTTGAGGGCGTGCGAGTGGTTGGTGATAGATCTTCTGGATCACCCGTCAAATCAATGCAGAAAGGTGCACCGCTATAGTATGTGATAGCACCTTCGTGGCGTTGCCATTTGCCAACCGACCCTGCGGAGTATTTCAAGCCCAAGTCCGACTCGCCAGGATTTTCGTCGTCCACGACTATAGGAGAGCCAACTGACACATCCCGTGAAGTGTGCCCATCTGACGAATCCTGCTGAGCAAACAATGGCTTGTAGCGGAAACTTTCAACTCGAGCGCAAAGCTGTGGATCAAATGCAGGCATATCCTTACTTGAGCCGCAGGACTGGGATTCATTGCTAATAAATGGGCTAGTCTTCTCACGTTTACGTTTCTTTTCCGAACCCTGGATATCGTCGATAGAAGGACTTTCTTGCGAGTCGTAGCCAGAGCTGTGGCTACTGAACTTGGTATCTTTGAATCCGCCTCGCCATCGAATTTTATGCCCGTCAGGGGATAGTTGAAATCTGGTGCTGATTCCGGATACGGCGGAGCGAACGAAGTCTGGTGTCACATTGATCAAGTGGAGCTGGGCCAAGTTGTACAGCAGGTTCAAGGACACCCAGCCTTCAGCGTCTAGGTGGACGTCCTGGATACTCTGCTGTCCAGGCAATAACCCGGGCAGCAGTAGGTCCAAATGCCGGATGTAGTCCATATTCTCAGACGGAATCTGCGCACGATTGGGGTCCAAATCACAAGGTCGCGTTGGTCGCTGTTTTGGCAGAAGCGGGAGTGGGGGAAACGGCTTGGTACCAGAGACCAAGCCTTTATCATTGCCTCCGGTCTCCATGTTGTCCTTATTGGGATCAGAAGCCGACCCACGGTCACTTGAATGACACTTGTTTCCCCAAGTGCGAGATCGTTGTTCTAGAGGGAGGATTCTGGCTTCCCGGATAGGCTCAGTTACACGAGTGGGTGGTTCGTGGGCAGATGATGGGTCCGCCACCTGTGCGTCTGCTACAACGCGCGCCATGATGAAGCTGCCACCCGGCCGCATAAGCGGAATCTTCGAGATATCGGCACCGTTACTTCTGCCTGTGAAGAGCTGTTCGAGACGACGAACAACGAGACTCTTCCGGTCCTTGTCTGTCATGATTACGTGTCGTGGGTACAGGCCGTCGGGAACATCTCGTAGATAATCCTCGACCTTGCCCTTTGATGATTGGGTTGAAGTCAAGATGGGGAGGTTAAAAGAGGTGCTTGAAGACTCGGCACCAGCCGACCTGGAGGCATAAGCGGAGTCAGCTGGCCGGAGGCTGGAACCTGGAGAGGAAGGAGCACGTTTGCGCTGAATACCAGATTTGGAGTATATGTGATCGCGGTTGTGGGGGGATATCTTTGTCCTTTTTTGCAATGATGACACCTCTGGAGACCCATCGAGATCGGTGGTAAGGTCTCTCAGTATGGCTTCGAGTTCTCTCTTTTTCTTTTGGGGCAGCCCATGAACCTTGATCTCAAACAGCTTGTCTTTATGGAGCAGGGCCGGACCCGGTTGCTTATAGCGCTTGAGTTCCTTCCTAAGCTGTTGAATCTCGAGTGTTAAGTCGTCGATGACGCTGCGGTAGTCATCAACGCTACTGCTGTGCGCCGTGATGGGTATAGGAGGGGCGGCCTGGTATTGAGTATGCAAGTCTGGTTTCTCCGGATTCCATAAATCAGATTCTTTCCGGTAAAAGGGGACATTAACTAGAGCTTCATATCAGTTTCTTCTACACTACTATGAGTCGGCTAGAGGTAGTGCATACCGTCTATGGCATCGTTGTTGGCCGTCGCCTTATGGCTCGAGTCATTATGCCACTCTGGTGGGTCGCTTGGCCCCGTCTCATGACTGCCGGTGAGGGAATTGAGATGGAGAGAATAATCGGTTAGTGGTGGCGGGGTTCTATGTGAACTATTTGGATTTGAAGGCATCTTAGCCGCGTAAGCATATGAGACGTGGAGCAAGACCCTAATAGGACTGCTTAATTATCGACGTCGCAGGAATTCCGAGTATGCTCATCGTCAGGCTACATAGTAAGATTTCCACGGTTCGACGACCATGTAATACGGTCGGGAGACGTCTAGCAACAATCGTCCGAGCCTGGCTTCCCAGTAATGGAAACAGAGCTCGAGTCGCCGCGAGGTTATCCAGTAAGATATGTGTTTGACTGCGATGCGTCCTCAAGAGCTTGACTAATTTAGTAGTCGATGAATTTGAATAGGTAAATAGCGTCGCGTGGAATGCTTCTCTGCAATTTGCCAAGTCAATCGTCCCGCCCAGAGGTCGCCAAAGCTGCTGCGGAGACAGCGGAAGGGTTCATGTACCTGGGCGTTGAATTCAGATAGTCGTATGGTGGCGATTAATGATAAAAACGGCCGCGACGCTCGGTCGGAGGATCGTGCGTTGTGCCTTGAAGAACGTACGAGTACAGGAAGGATGTGAGGTCGAGGGGGCATGCCGAACATTGCCAGAAGCAGCGACGGAGTAGGTCACTTGCCAGTGTAGACGTACTAACTGGTGGAGGTGTGGAGTAAAAGTGGAGGGCACTGGGGATCCAAGAGCCCGGGTCCGCGGGGGAAAGTCCAGAGACAGGACAGGACGTGCTGGAGATGTTCTTTTGGTTGAATGGTATACTTACTTAATTGATGAAGCTGGGCGTTGAATGAGTTACTGGAGGATGAACCCAAAAGAAATATTGGGAGACAATCACTGTTAACAAACGCCGGAAGCTGTGGCGAGGGGAAAAACGGGAATTTTGCGGGCAGTTTAGCAATGCTGCGGTGCATTGCAAAATGTTCACAGGGAATATCGTAGCGCTCCGCGAGCCAATAAGTCTGTGTACTTTCAATCAGTGATAGCAAAAACACTAAGAGACCTGCTCTGCTGTCGAAGCAGTCCTCCTGCAAAATCATCATTTTTCTTTAGCCTCCAACGCTGCAGACGCCATGGACTGTTCGGGTATGGACGGCGAGTAACTAAAGCTGCCCCGTCCAGCTCCAGCACTTGCTGCTCCTCATTGGGGCCTGCCCTCCCTCTATGCTCCAGTCCGGTCACGATATGGGGACATAACCAATTAAAATGCAAAAAACACGAGGTACTTTTATCACCGCCTGATTTATGCAAGTACCAACAGTTCTGATCGTTACAAATCGTTAAATCACAAATCGCATAACCGTACCTAGCCTGCTTTGCCCTGCGCCCGCAGCTTACATCACTGCTGATTTCACTGAGAGCGTGCCGTTTTGACCCTTTTGACCTTATTTGCCCTTGTCGGAAGCCCAAACAGGCTAGACACCAGTTGAAGCTCCAGGCAATCATGGGGGTACGGCGCCGCAGCCTGGTGTGTGTGCACGTGGAGCTGTCATAGCGTTGAAGTTGCGTTCTGTACCTATCAAGGGGGTCGGAGCTCAACTCCGTTGTCTTGAAGACTCCTCTCGCATAAAACGGTGGGGCATCTCATCTGTCAAGACGCCAAAGGTCGCTTGATTACCGTGTTCACATTTATAAATCTGTATTTTTGTCAGTGGCTTTGATGTAATTTCTGGGTCCAAGCTTTCAACAGGCATCACCTCCCTTTTCTTCGATTCACGCAACGCTTTGGGTTCCTGAGGGATGTTGGGGATATATTGTAAGCGACATACGGCAGATAATGTTAACCCTTCGGCAAATGGTGATTGCCGATCGAGATTGACGGGGACCCAAGCTTGATCAGCTATCGCCTCCTCTAGCTAAATATCTATCAATTTTGAACATGTGTTGCCTCCTCTCATCCGAAGATACCTAGCTGATTCTTTCTGAAAATTGGTCCCGTCAATTCGACATTGCACCGCAGGCACAGTACACTAAAGAACCGCTGCTTAACTGAGACGTGCCCAAACCATAACTATCATGCACAGTGCGTGCAATGCCAGCATCGTTCAATGCTCTGCTTCGCAGGGCAGCAACCTTCCGTTTTCGGCTTTTGGTCCATATCTCCAGCCGCCTCTGAAATCCACGCGAACAACACAAGACATGTCCTTTGGAAGGAATGCAGGGCAAGTATTGTGGCCCATTAAAAGGAGGAAATACAGAATAGAAACCGGCTAGATTCGTAATATTTCCTCAAGCAAACTGCTCAGTGGACAGTATTCTATGAACTGAATCTCAGTCATTAATTTCTCGCGCTCCCTGGAGCGTCCAACTTAGGGAGTACTAGAACATATCTGCTAGGGACTGAAATTAGGTGCAGTGATAATTCTGCAGTGGAGGATTCGAGCAGAACTGCCATTTTGTCCATGGTGTACTGGGACAACAAGAGCGAATAATTTTGCAGTGTCGTTGGATATTGTGAGAACTGTGAAGTAGATAAAGGTCGAGTGAAGTGAGCCATGGCTGAGAAGATAATGTATTTTATCTTAACCTGGCTCACAGCATTGTGTTTAACATAGGCCATACCGCATCTTATCTCTTTGAGCGGGACAAGGCATCCACGATGTCACGACAGGGGTGGGGGCCAATCAAAATGACCGTGACGGCTGGTACCTCCGCCTACACCTAAATTAGCGTGTGATAGAAGTACCAACAGTCAGCATTGTTACAAATCGCTACATCACACACTTTGCATCCGTACCTAGTCTGTGGACCTCGCGCATTTCCTGATATAGGCTGTAGATAGCCTCCTTTTTCCTTCCTTTTTTTCGAGGGTCGGGTCTGCCCTTGCCGAAAGCCCTTACAAGCTAGGCACGAGGAAGACCTATCTCTTCCTCGATAGACATAATTGATATCTCTTTGTAGGTGATTTTGCCGGGCTTCTTAATCGTCGATATCTTCCTCTTTCCCTGTGCAGTCTCTCTTCCTAGTGTGACCTTTAGCAGCGTATCTATTAAAAATAGCATTATAAATGCATTCCTTCTAAGCTTGAAGCGTGGTATAGGGCTTCTAACGAGGCTGCCGTGTTTTCTTCTGTAAAATGAAGCTATTCGCAAGTGCAACTTCAAGGAGGAAAGACCAAAGTAACGCCTGCCAAGGACCGCGCCGGAATCGGTGCTAATATGTTATATAAGACCGTATCTAATCGCCGCGGTTAACGTGGTTTATTTTATTATTATACTAAGCGGTAATAGTAGGAATAGGGATTATCTTGAAGCTATTACTATTAAAGACCTGCTATAGGCATTATGACTCTGCCTTTATGCCTCTTTTAGTAAGCTTTTTCCTCTTTTTTAGTATGCGCTCGTAAGGGGCTCTGCTAAGCACAGTTAAAAGGAAGAGCATGATGCTGCTATCTTTCTAAGCGATTTAAATAACCTAGGGAGAAAGGAAAAGGACAAATTAGTAAGGGATAAACAGGTAAAGCTATCCATACCTATTTATCTTATATCAGGATCAAATATACCTCGTTATACTGCAAAGCTATGCCATCAGGAGCTTTTCCGGTCTCTTTTATATGCTTTATCTCGGTGGTAATGCCGCAGTTAGGGCATGCCATGCCTATGGCACCGTGGCCAAGCTACCGAAGAAGGCGAAAGAGCTGCGGCAATGAGAAGAGGTTACCCATAAAGACGTGATATATCTGCGTTAACAGCCTTTTTAGTAGGTAAACCACGATGCTTTGCGTATTATTAAGAGGAATCTCGGTCTGTAGCTTTCCCTTCTTGCTATACGGCGTTAGTATAGGTAACTTAACTATAACAGCCTTATATGGTGATGCCTTCACGTGCTAAAGCCACTGCAGAAAGAAGCCCTATTAGGCAATAACCCAGACTTTGAACCCCACGGGCGTAGGTTTATTCTTAATAACAGTTATCTCTTTTAATCTGCCTGTAAAAGGGATCATATACTTATCTACAGTTAGATTAGTCCCTGGAGAATAGAGCTTGATAGACACCCTTTATATGTGATTAGACTACTCTTCAGCCGCTGGAAGGTCTTTAGAAGGTCGCTCTCATCCCTCACATCGAGCTTGGTATAGTCAAAAGTGCGGAAATACCTCGTAATCAGCTCGAACTTCTGTAACGGCATGAACTTGGTGATTGAGTGAAGAGGGCGCTGATCTCCTAGGCTAGGGGACTTCCAATAGTCTTTAATCGATATTTCCCTATGAATTCCTAGGTAAATAAGGACCCCAAGCTATATATAAGCTGTTGCAGTGGAGATGCCTTCCTACTTGAGAATGCAGGACCATTTAGAAAGGGGGGTATTCCAGTTATCAATAACGGCATTTTCAAGTAAGTGAGCGACCTAGCTATTGGTGTATTCAATCCATGACTGTATAAGGGAAATAGGTATGAAAAGCTGGAATAATTCAAGTGGTTCCTTGGGTAGAGGGTTGATCTTGAAATCATGATATTCTAGGTTGAAAGGTTGAAAATCATCACCGCGGCCCTCTTCGGGCAGAAAATCAGGCACGCCGGTGGGGTCATTAGCTGCCCTCAAAGGCGGGGTATTAAAGCTGTGATCATCTATATAATCAGGTATCTTTTGGGAGCTCATCGTTTTAATTAAGACGCGTTAAGGTCAATTTGTATGAGGATTTTGATGATTTTGGCTGTATTGAATGAAGCAGCTGTCTGACGAGAACTTCATGTACCCCGCAGGTACTAGCGTTGTTAGTAAGCAAGGTGGGGCGAGTGACCCCGTGGATGCCTTGTGCCGCTCAAAGAGATAGCTCGCTTTAAATGTCTCGCATCGGGGCCAAAGGCAAAGCTCCGCACTCTGCCACCCTCCATCATTTGACGGGTAGGCAGAATTGTGTGGCGAAGACACTGAGTTGAACTGGCGCACATGAGTGGTTTTCGCCCCCCACGTTTCCTTTGGTACGTCAGCGTTGTTGCTGACCCGCCATTAACCACAGGGTCCTCGAGGCATCCCGTTCTACGGCCAACCGTGCGTCTCTTTACTATTCCACGTCCAAGTCCTAGCTCTCACCAACTTCAATCTACTGCAGCTCTCGTCAATTTAAAGGGGATCATTTCCACAACATGGACGACCCATTATGGATATGGCCATCCTGGAAATTCGACATAAAGAAAGAGGATTTATTCACCAAGCTCCACGATCAATACAACACCTACTCGGCCCCCTTCAAGACGCTGAGGCTTTTTATCATGATATCTCCGAAATCTCCTACGAAGCGCAGTCGACTGTCGAATTTCATCATGTAGCCAGCAATAGCAGACAACAGCGACTCTGTGAGTTGAATAACTCTCTTGAATCTGCAAGTTTCGAAATCATTGGAAGCCCAAACCTCATCAAGATGCCTCAGTAGGAACATGCAGTCCAGGTCTTCCGTACAAACTCTTTGGACTCCCTCGTTCGATACTTCGCTTCTTACCTCCCCGCCGACCACATTTGGCACCCATTGTGTCAAGATTCCGCCCTTGTCGCCACTGACGCTGTATCCACCTCCCCTTTACCGAAAAAGCGGTGCAAACGCATCAAAATGAATGAGGCCACTGACTCCGGGAGGCAGACCTTGCTGTCGCCGTCGATGGTGCTTGGCCGCCTTCCGGCGAAAGATCAATCCTTGGAGCCGAATGAACCCTTAGATTCTGCGCGTCCTGCTGTATTGTCCTCATTTCCAGAACCAGGATTAAGCGTACTCGACCGAGGAACACAGCTCCTACGTCGGCCATGGAAGTTTTGGTGATGGCATGTCGACGATGTCAGATTCCGATGCATTTACAATGGTTGAATGCAGGATTAAGAACACACTCAATGAGACAGTACGCCCCTACGGGGGATCTTCTACCAAATTATCTCTCAAGCAGATTGATCTTGCAAGCAACCATTCCGGCGGCCAGAGAGGGCGTTGTGTCGATTGTCAAGTGAGCGCACACCCTAAAACCTTGACGTCTTTACCCGTAGATCTATCATTCTCGGGACCTTTGCGGACTCCGGTCGCATCAGATGGCTCCGTTCTAGTTGCTGCTGGAGCTATGGTGGGATTGAAGCGCAAACGTTGTTAAGCGACAAAAACTCTCAAGCTCTTCAGTCTTCACATATTCGCATTGTACCTTAGAAAATCACATAGTCTCGTTGCATGATTTTTATTATCCCTTTGACTGGCATAGCCCTTCTGCGAAGTCGCACTTAGGGGCTCAAATGAATAAGTGCCTATCAGTTTGCGAGTACATCTAGATTATGTTAAAAATCCGCAATAGTCACCAAACCCAGTTATCTATATACTTGAGCAAAATGTAACAAAGTTACAGAACAGTAACTGACTTAAAGTGCCTTATTGAACCAAATCTCTTGTCGCTGATTTGTACGTGGGGTCAAGTGGAGCTAACTACTTCAGAGAAGGGCTATGCCGGTCAAAGGGATAGTTCATTATTGATCAGAGCTAGATCAACTCTTCAATCGAGCATGAGTTCCGGTAAAACCGAAGACTTTAGAGTCCTAAACACTGTACCTTGTGAGAACCGTACTGGCACCTGACTGGTGGTTTCAAGAGGCGAAAAAGTAGGTTTACATCAGGAGAGCTGAGAGAGGGGGGCCAGCACCCACAGTAAAGCACAGGGTATGTAATTGACACATGCTCTGATGTTAACCCGCGCTACGTCACCTGTTTTCAAATACCGGGTCTAGCATTGACCCCTCTATTTTCAATTTTTCAAAGAATGGTTTTTGAGGATTTCATGGTGGCCCCACCAGCGGACTATATTAGACTGATGGTCTTCCCCACTTCAACCACTCACTTATCCACAATACCGAATTGCAAATATTAATCAACCAAAAATCTCCGAGCTCACTATGGAGAAGGATAAGCGCCTCTTGAGCCTATATGGAATAGTTCCCAGCAGAGAGAACCTTCTTCATCATCAGTTAGAAGTTAGTAAAAAATATTCTACGGCCTTCATGATCAGCAAGAATCTACCTAACTCGGTAATCAATGGAAGGGAAGAAAGTATTTCGATTCGGGTGATTTTGCCCTCGAGCAAGCCAATAGATCTTCCGATATCGGTACCGTCAAGACCGGTAGCGAACACCCCATTCGGCGAGATATATCAGACCCTTCGTGTCCAGTACCGAGCTCTAGCAATCTTGACGATAACGCCAACCAGCATACATCACCTGAGAAGAAAGCTGGCGAGCTGAAGTTTACTAATCATACCCACCTCCAACAAGAGACGGTGGTCCAGCGAGAGGATGAGCATCGGGAAACGAAGCAGGAACACAACGTCTAGATGCTGGCTATTGTGATTTAGCTAGCCGACCCGCCTGGTTAGCAACCAGAAGCTCAATAGTATTAAAGAATACCCCATCTGTAACAGGATAGGCTTCGGTATGCCTGGAATCCTAGGGCTCATTTAACCGCGATGGGTAATATACAACTTATAAATAATCATCATCTTTCCGAACGATGTAGCTACTGTAGGTTTTAAATATCTTGGCTTTGACTATATTCAGTAAATCACCTTCCATGTGACACTAACCGATCCAAGCTCCAACTCAATGGCTCGTCCTTTCAAGGTCGAGACACCGCAGCAAAGACCAAGAACAGAGTCCCCTTTAGATCGACATATAGGAGAGGCCATGATAGCCATCACAGCAGTCGTTGAAGAAGCTGTGCCGACAATGATCCTATCGCCGAGGTCAAAGCAACGATGAAAGGAAGAACGCGCAAAGACCCTCACAGAATCAAAACAGCTCCGCCGCTAAGATAGCCTCTGTACTACCCTGAAGAGACCTGGGCAGCATACCGTGAGACGCGTGATCACAACAGGAGGGTCATCAAGAGGGGCACTCAGATGGATCAAAGGTAGAGGAAGCTGCACAATCATCTGTATCCCTCAGACGGTCACAAAATGGGCTCGAAACAAGACGTGATCGGACGCCAAACGTGATGCCGGTATTGGACGAACCTTTCACATGATAGCCAGTAACCAACCTCGGGAGAGAGGGCATAGATAGATCTCAGCGACATGTAGAACGCCAGCTATCCCAATCCCATCATCATGCCACTAATAACGATATAGGAAATAGAGGAGGCTATCTTGGAGTCTGCGCCCTTGAAAGCCCTAGGACTAGACGGCAGCTCGATTAAGGCACAGCAACTGGCCACACGCAGGATCAAAACACATCTCGCTACGATGTTCAACTAATCCTTGGCCCTCGACTACTACCTAGAACACTTTCGACAACCGACAACCGCAGTCCTCAGGAAGCTAGGAAAAGACAACTACACGACGCCGGAGGTTACTGACTAATCGCTATGCTTTGGACAAATAAGTGTCATGATCCAGACCACTACCAATAGACGACGAGATATATTGTGTATGGGGGAAACCAGGGGAATAATGCTGATTTAGAACAGCTTAGATGTTCGCATCTCGGGCGTAGAATCAATAACAGTCCCAAGCTTCGTTATGCTTTATTACCTAATGCCGTCTGTTTTAAAACCATGGGAGCGATTTGCCCCAAATTTAAGTATTGTTGCCCGCCCTGCAGCCCAACTGCTCGAATGCATAGAGGAGAGATCTCGTTAATTATAGCCAGGAACTCGGATTTAGAATTCAAGCAATGCTCAATGTTTAAAAAAAGAAATATACATGGGTTCTGGGGTACCTAGACTAAGACGCCAGAGCCAGCTCACACAGCATATCCCCAAATTGGACTTGACGCAGTCTCATGAGCGTCTGTGGTTTGGCGAATGATTTTAACTATCCGATTCGCGTCGTCATGCTTCGAGAAGGGTCAAATATCCACGCCTTGATACTATTGTTCAGCAAAGGGAGGGAAGTGTCTGGGGTTGAGAGGAGGAAACAGGTACTGTGGGGTAAACAACCAAGGGTGATCTGAATTGATACATTCTAGACCACCATTTGCATGAAGAGTAGGGATAATTTATCAACAAACAACCGTCCGTAGAATTGATCCTTGGCGGGGCTTCCTCCGCTTCATGTGATTAGCCGTGGCGTAGATCAATCGTCATCATAGACCAGTCAGTGCATCAGCGGCCGTGACGCAGTAAAGAAGTGATATAACGTAACGTATATGATAAGCGAGTTGGCCGGATAAAAGAGTTAGCCACTTTACCCTAACCAAGCCCGTTCACCCAACACGTCCAGCCCATTGAAATCAATCGTTGTTGTCTTCTCCAGACGCCTTTACTTCTATTTGACATCTTCGCGCATCATGTCATGTCCTGTCCTGCCACAAACACCACATCGCCATTGTTCTGTTTCCTCCTTCCATTTGTGACCTCCATTTCCGCAACTTTCTTCTCGTAGCTGCACGTCAACATCGTTTTGGCCTTGTATATCTTGTCCATGAAGTTGATCGGTTAGTTGTGTATCGGTTAAAGTGCTTTATGCACTCTAGACCTGTCTCGTTATCAGTCCAGCCATTTTGGGTCGTGGCAATTGCGCTATCTCCCGGGACGTTGCTTTCTCGGTACCAATTAGCGAGGTGATATCGACCCGCAACCACGATAAAGGGCTGAATCGCCCAGCCTTCCGTATTGATCGCTTGAAGCGAGGGTGACACGACCGGTGACAGCGCCAGACGGGGACAGCTGGACTCAAGCGGGCAGCCTAGTTCTCCCACGAAGATGTACGTTACGATGCCCTGGTGGTCTGGCACTAGCAGGGCGGCAGCTACGCTCGCAATAACGAGCTGGACAGGCAAGGAAGGGAAGGCAGTCGTCATTTCAAGAGGTAAAGTGCCTCCATCGTTCCAAAGCTTCATCTCCAGCCACTGTTCCAAATAACATAGACCATATCCCTGGCTGTGTTCACGGTGTCAATAATGCGGCAAAACATCCCTTTGCTTGAAGATGTGACCGCCTCCCCATAAGGCATAAACATGCCAGCTGGCTCGGCAGTCAAGCTGTCTGTAGAAGTAGTGCGGTGCGGACGATGTTCTTCGAAACCCCCAGAGCTGTACCAGGCTAAGTCTGTATAGGCAGCCATTAAATCCTCGGAGAACCTATCCGACGCTTTGGGTGGACGAGATGTCTCTTGTGCTGAGAAAGGTAAAACGAGATGGCTGTGTAAGGTGCTAGAGGTGTAACATATAGCCTTTTCTGGGACGTCTAGTATATGTTCTCGATGTTTTAATGTCGTTGATGGAAGCATTGCGATTGTCTTTCCATCAGACAGTAACGAATTGCCCTCCTTCGCCGACTTTCGCGGCCAGTCCAGCTTCATTCTGATTCCGTCTTCGGAATCGGCATCGGTACTGATATCGCCGTCGTCATCGTCGTCCTTGACCTCGACGGCGATACATTGCTCCACTTTATAATTGAAGTGGATGTGTTTTCGCTCAACACCCGGTGATGAGACCCCAGTGGATGCTGACGATGGCAGCATACTCGAGGTATCACAGCTCATTGGCGTCGAAGGGAAGGGAAACATGGTATGGTCCCTCGTCGCTGCGCGATCAGATGAAAGCTCTTTCAATCGCCGGCTGTCATTCTGCCTCGCTTGGGCCACTGGGGTTACCTGCTGAGGTAAGGATGATATTGACAATGGTCTCTGCAGCATTATATCTGATATGCTCCTTTTCTTCAAGATAGGCTTCCTGTTGTTGTTGACTAGTGAGTTTGGCGGTAACAATGAGGCACCGGAAAGCCCAGTCTGCGTACAGTAGATCTTGCTAGCACCTGGCTGAACGGGCCCATATAGCCAACTCACATCACTATCTTTCAGCCTGCACAAAGTTAGCTTGATACTCGTGCCTAAGTCCGTCATGTTCTTACCAGTTGAGCGTTTCGGGAGACACAGTCTTCAGGTTGTTTTTGTATTTTATCCATGTTCTCCAGCATGCATTCTCCAAACGGGTGCTATTAGGGTGCTCTCCTCGGCGGCTGGTAATATATTTCCATGATGACCAGATGTCTTCTTCCTTCCATTCATGAGAAAGGTAGTCAACATTCCTCCACGGCTGGGCGTTGATAGCAGTGTCATCTTCAGCGTGTTCGTGAATCTCTCCTAATTCCGGAGAACCCCCTGTTGACGTATCAGCCGGCTTATCATTGTCAACAGACGAGGCGCTGCACGAGTCGTAAGCCTTGAGATCCGGCCGGCGTTCCAGGCCATCGTCCCGTGGCGCAAAGAAACCGTCTTTCAGAAATTGGGGCAGCCAAGCGCGCTCTGCTGACGACTCGATCAGGTGGATTCCTTCATCGTAATCAGATAGGGTGGAAATATACCTAGCGGGTGTCGAGGAGCAGGACATATCCCTTGACTCTCGGTGGATAGGAGACGGCGAGGAAGCTGAAGAGGGTGCGGGGTCTGGATGTTCAAGAGACTGATAGCAAGGGTCGCTCCTTGGGTCTGCTCTAGACAGAGACGTCGTTGTCCTGCCCGCCAGTCGCGAGGGAGATTGGCATTCGTCAATTTTTGAGAAAATAAAGTAGCTGCTCCCTTTGGAGGAGGGTAGAGCGGCCGTCTGGATAGATGGTTCATAGAGCTGCCTCCCACACACCGCACGTCATACAGGGGTATATCCAGGCTGCTCGATTTGAGGTGTAATGAAAGCTCCGGTTTTTTTTGGGTTGTTAGAATTCGCCCCTGATCTTGAGGATAGCTCCGGTGTGTGCGACCGTTGGCAAGAAAAGGAAGGTTGAGGTCCCAACAACCTGGGCGTGGCGTTGTGTCAATAATGGCCCATGGCAATCGAGATTGAAGAAGAGAGAAGAGTAGCTACGCCATGAAAGCGATAGAGTGACATCATGAATGACACTCTCTGCAAGGTGCCATTTTACAGTGAAATGCCCTTCTTCATCTTGGCAATCAGTCATATTCACATGTTAACCACTCAAGGATATCAGGGATACTGCTGGGAAACTTATCCTACGGTACCGTTACAGACCGGTCGGAGAGTTTCGAGCCACCTTGCCATGGCCTCTAAGCCGTACTCGGTAGAGCAGGTCAGAGACACATCGCTTGCGTAATTGACAGCTGTAACTTGACTTGCATTGCCTTCTCTTCACTTAATGAGGGCAATGTGCAGCGGGGCGCGCAGTGTACAGTGTCCAGGCGCTGGATTTGGGGCGGGAGCGGAGAATGACGATGACGCAAAAAGAATTCACTACGCAAGTAAAAGTGAAAAATCATGGCGACGCTCGAAGATTTAGGCTCCGCCGTCACACTTCCGTGGGTTGTGCTGCTGCTCAGATGTTGGCGCTGTCATTGGTGGACGCGTCGTGTTCGTGGCGTGCTCCCTCGAGTCAAAACAACACGGGGGTAGATGCAATGAACGGTTGAAGCCCATTGGGTTCTTTTGTGGCTGCTGTTTCCAAAAATCTCGTTCTCGCTGTTTGTTAATTACAATACGACGGTTCGCCCGCGCCGGGATTCAACGTGTGGAAAACGCACTTATGATGTCGGTAACACAGGGTTGCATATGCAGTGACCACCAGTCAAAACAGATGTCATCAAAAAAAACGCACAACTAGCTTGGGCAGACTTTGAGTTATCCGCGACGCGATCTTATGCGCCATGTCACCTCCGACTGAAGCCGACAAATTGATGATCCACAGTGTCTGCGGAGCCTCAAGAGCTACCGGCAAGAGCACCTACCGATCATCAACTACCACATAGCAGACGTCTGATGCTCTCCATGACTCCAACACAGAGTTTATGCGGTGTCAGGATATCGAGTGAAAATATGGCGCAGATGGCCGAAACTTAGAGGTGAGGACATGGCGCTAGTTCTCATTAAGAGAACGTGCTACCCCTCCAATTCCCCGCATTACACGTCGGATGAGAACTACGGACAAAATGCTCCCGGTCGTATCTTCATCTGGCCCCCTACTCGGCGCCTTCCGGTGAGCTGGTGTGTCCGGTTATCCTCTATGCAGAGCCCTCGTCCCCCCAAAGTCCAAGCACAATCACATACCTGCGCATACCGTAAACCGCCGACCCATCCCCCGCCTTCGCAACCTCGTTGGTGCCCGTTCAGGCCACTGCATATCAGAACTCCAAGAGCTTCAAGCAAGTCGAGCATGTCTGCATGCATGACTCTGTGTGTTCTATTGCCCCAGTGAAATTGCCTGTCCCTCGAGACTCAACGACATGGATGATGACTAATTGCGGACTCCGAAACCCCGGCAGATTGGCCAATCATGGCTGCATAAGTCATCTCCTTAAACAAAGGGATTTTTGATCTCCTCAGGTTCTGAAAATGGGCGTTTGAACATCCCGCTCCCACGGGCAAAGTCTGTTTTCTGCTCATGGCCTGGTTGTCCTAAGCTTAGCCTCTGCTGATTCTGTGTTCCTGGCTAGGTACAGATAAGGTTTGCGCACTGCGCCCGGTACCGCAGTCCGGTCTGTTAGTTGCCTGTGAAAGCTGCCATATTTAATCCTTGCATCCTCCTCGATCCTCCCATGCCCTACTCATGTCGTTTGGCCCACCTACTTGGGCAATTCTCTTTGAATTCCCTCTTCTGCCATATCTAGAGTGTCAACCTAGGCCATTGAAGACCTCTCATCGCAGCTTATTAACGGGGCTAGCATTTACAATCTACGGACCTAAATCACTTTATATGATCTTCGTGTAGTCCTGTTCTTCACCGCTGAGAGATCTTGCCTTCGATTCTCACCCAAAAGTTATCACCACCACCCCGTACTAATGATCCCACCATCCTGCATGATGAGTACCGCTTCCCCAATGTCTCGAAACCATATGACATATCAGCCGACGCCAAGTCAAACAGGCGCCAGCTCATTCTTTAAGGAAGCAATTGATGCCTCCCCGGTCCCGATGGAAGTGGGTGTCGGGTCCACCTACAACGCATTACCGACTCAGCCCGCGGAATTCAAGAACCTCGGAGGTAGCGAAACACTGCAAAATATACTACCATCCGTTATGGGAGACAAGAAGTTGAACCGGCGAGCCCATACCCGAAGACAATCACAAGCAAATGAGGTGCTTCTCGAGTCCAGTGCCTCTGGGCAGGCTGCAGAGTCACCCAACCCAAGGAAAAGGGGCCGAAAACCCAAGAAGCAGCTAAAAGAGCAGAAGGTTGCGGGTCAGCATAAGGAGCTTGATGATGATGATCTTCCCAAGGATCCTCACCGGCGCCGAGTGCTTGAACGTAATCGCATTGCGGCGAACAAGTGTCGTCTCCGCAAGCGTGATGAAGCCTTAGCCCTCGCTTCTCGAGAAGAAACTATGGAGGACCAAAACCGCTATCTCATGACGTGTTTCGACTCTCTAGCCGTCGAAATTTACCACCTAAAGACCCAATTACTGCGACATACACAATGCAATTGCGTTCTCATCCAGAACTACATCGCGAATGAGGCGCAAAAGTGTGTGGATAGGCTAGTCGCTTGCTCTACTGCCTTTGATACCTATGGCAATTTGCTAAGGCCCTGCGATGGAAGCCCAAGTGATGCTAGCACCGCCAAAGAGTTGAATACGCAGAGTCTAAATGGAGGTGGCTTCCCGGCAACCCTGAGAATCTCTTCTCAGTAAGAATCTAGCATCTCGAAGGTTATAGATGTCATGTTCGATATGATGGGTTTAGGACCATTTCAAACGGCTACTATGCCGCCTGATTCGATGGCCCTTACCCAGCCAGTTCCACCATTATCCTTCACTGAATATGGACCAGGGTTATTCGTCTACGAGGGACCGTGAGAACACCAAGCGGATGAGGTTGCTTGGGACACATATTTGTATTTTGACGCTAGTCGCTACCTCTGTCCCTTAATATTAGGAATACGGGATAAGAAACCACGTGAAGAGCTATTTACGATTCGGGTTAAGACAAAGTTGGCTTATAATGTCTCGTACCTCTATGAATATGGAGTTAGGGCGATGCTTTCCAGTACCCGCACGCCAGGGAGTTGCAAACGGAAACGTAGAACAGAACTCGATGGCAGCGAAACCGTAGAAAGATCCTGGAGAGGATAGATTACCGGCGATGGTCCGGAAACAGCTCTCGCCAGTGGCCAAAGATCGAGTCCACCTTTCTTCGGACCTCACTAGTACACAGGGAGTTGCCCGATTAGTGAATAGTGCGAAGATTATCCTTTTAAAAATGCCTGAATGGGTGGTCGCCCCATCAAGACATGAAGACAGGATATCGTATACCGGTATTGTTGGGACCTTCGGGATCCTCCACATGAATCACTTGAGAGCAGGCAAGCGAGAATCAGACAAAGAGGCTTAGCTATGAAGGATATGACGTCAAACACTTGGCGACCTTGGCGCGTCGCTGAAGGGTTAAAACTGGCTGAACCATTCGGTGTAAGAAGCTGTGGGGCTCTGAGCATCAGCACCAAATCGTCCGGACTGTGAAAAGCATAATTACCACACTGTGCTTTGGGTCTAGAACCCCAAGGGGCGAAAAGATCTTCATTCCATGCATTGGTTCTCGCCTGAACTCGGTACTAAGCCATGCAGGATGCTGAGGTAATCCTCCCCTCACCTGTGACCAGTAACCTCATTCTGGACTCATCCGGACTTAGGAGTGTGTCGACATATTGACAAAATAAGGTCCTAATACCAGAACATAACTCGCTAGTCTGGTGCCAGCGCGGGTTATAAAGTTTTATGATCCTAAAGGACACTATGCTATGCCGGAAGATCTTACCTATCTGTCTGTTAGGTGCCTGGTCAACCGCTTATCGGCATTTGGCCACCATTAAGCGATAGCAAAGGACATTATTGCGTCAACCTGGCGGTTTTATTGGCAAGAAATGGTCAGCGTAGCGCTCTGCTGTTATTAACAGGGTCAGTGGCTACGCTTTGAAGTGATTCTGTATATCGAAGCTAGTCAGTCAGTGGGAACAAATTGATCAGGATATATGATGAATATTGGGACGTAGGTGGCAAGGATCTAAAAAGAGCAGGTATATATGTAGAACATAGTCTATAAGTTGGAGAGAGGGTGGGGAGTTGACTGAAGAGGCGATTGTTGCGCGTTAACTCTTGCATCAGTGGCTAGAAAGAGCAAACCTCTGCTCCACAACGCTTCGAGCTCTGCATTACAAGAATGTGTCAGCCCTGCCATCGCTCCCTTACTCCCCAACATCGTCAAACTTTCCGGCACTCTCCGATATGCCATCAGGCCAAGAATGGTCGCATGATCCATGCCTCAGTTGCGGCACCCAGACAGAGGGAGAAACTTATTGCTCTAATTCTTGTCGGCTATCAGAATGCGAGAAGGTGCCGGCACCGACGCACTGTGCAAGCTGGCCTTCTATGCGGACCGCATCGTCCTCCTCGACATCGTCAGCCCACGAAGCCAAGTCATCGACCAAAGTAGAGAAGGAATTAAGAGTTTACAATATGTTATTGGACCAGTCGAAGATGCGGAGGAGATTGCATTAAAAAACCGAATTACCTCTACTTCGTTCGCGTCTCGCCTCAGGGGCTAATAACAGGGGACACATCTCACGATAGTACCACCATCAGCGCTCTCTGCGTGCCAACTTCATCAATCAACCACGCAACTACTGGTTATCTATATGTCTCTATTAAAACTATATGATTACGATGGCCCAAGCTGCTGGTGGCTGGGATGTGGATACTATGTAGTTAAGCTGAGTTGTTCTCTCTCAGATAAGTAGAACTTAGACTTTTAATAACGTATGTGATAAGTGACCCAACCAGACAAGTGGCCCGACCAAAAATCCCTTAACCTACAACATTTCTATCTAGTTAAATAGTTCTCAACCATCTAACATGTCACAATCTTCTAACGAAGCTAGAATTATTCTTGCACTTCAAGCCCTTCAAAATAACCCAAGCTTAAAGCTCGACCAACTGCAGAAGCCTACCAAGTTAGCTATAGTACTCTCCGCGATCGAAAGAATAGCATTCAATCACGACGCGATATTATCCCAAAGTCTCGCAGACTATCTGATCTGGAAGAACAGATAGTAGTTTAATTCATTCTCGACCTAGATTCGTGAGGACTTCCACCCCCCCTTCCGCGACTGCAATTTGTTGAAGAAATGGCCAATCGACTGCTAGCTGACCGCGAAGCAAGACCTGTCGGCAAGCGCTGGGCTTATAACTTCGTCAAGCGACAATCAGAGCATAAGACACGTTTTTCACGTAAATACGACTACCAGAGGGCCAATTGTGAAGATCCAACTGTGATTAGGAAGTGGTTTACCCTTGCGTTAAATGGAATGGCGAAGTATGGCATCCGATCAGATGATATCTGGAACTTTGATGAGGCCGGCTTTATGATAGGCGTGATCTCAAGCGGTGTAGTTGTCACCGGCTCAGAGAGGCGTGGAAGGCAGAAATCAGTCCAGCCTTGAAATCAGGAATGGGTTACAGCAATCCAAGCGGTTAATGCAGAAGGTCAGGCAATCGAGCCATTTATCGTGGTTGCGGGCCAATATCACCTTGCCAATTGGTACCAAGAATGCGACCTCCCGCGCGATTGGGTTATTGCAAAGAGCCCAAATGTCTGGACAGATAACGAGACGGGTCTCGAGTGGCTAAGGCACTTTGATCGGTCTACAACTAACCGATCAACTGGTCCCTATCGTCTTCTAATCCTTGATGGTCACGAAAGCCACCATTCCGCCGACTTTGAGAGATACTGCGAGGATAATAAGATTATCACGCTCTGTATGCGGCTCATTCGTCTCATCTACTTTAACCTCTTGATGTTGGGTGCTTTGGGCCACTGAAAAAGGCGTATGGTCGAGAAATAGAGCATCTGATCAGAAGGTCTATAACCCATATTTCTAAGACTGAGTTCCTCCCGGCCTTTTATGCCGCTTTTCAAGCTACTATGACCGAGAAGAATATCAAGGGAGCTTTTAAGAGAGCTATACCTGTTCCTTTTCATCCGGAAAGTGTGGTCTCAAAGCTTGATATGCAGGTGCGGACTCCAACGCCTTTCGAGGAGGAGGCTAGCCACTATAACCCTTGGATTTCAAAGACCCCAAAGACCGTCCTCGAGGCTAAATCTCAGTCTGAATACCTTGAAAGACGAATCAGAAGGCATCAAAGTAGCTCCCCAGAGTCTATTCTAGATAAACTAAAGTCTCTTTCTAAAGGAACGAAGGCGGTTATGTATGAGATGGCATTGATAAGGTCTGAGATCCAAGACCTTCGACGGGCAAATGACACACTAAGCCGGCGCCGGAGGGCAAAAAGGACCCGCCTACAGAAAAGAGGGAAGATGACTCTAGAGGGAGGTAGGGAAGCAATTGGCCAGAAGGATATTAATACACAGGCAGTGGCCGAATCGTCGAGAAGTGGTAGTCAAAGAGGGTCGGCACAAATAAAGGAAAGGCATTGTGGAACATGCGGCAAGACAAGTCATAATACAAAAACATTCCAGATAGTTGTCGTTATATCTGGGGAAGAGTATAGCGATTAGTTTTAATTGATCGGATAATTTGTTGTGTTTTTATGGTGATGTCTATCCCAAAGGTTGAGATTTTTGGTCCACTCGCTTATCATGTACGTTATAATTTATTATTCAAGATTAAATAACTTGCTTGATTTAGCGATTTAGTCGCACGCGTAATAATGCCATTCTCTCGAGTAAAGAGATTACTATAATAGGCTTGATAGGGCTTTGCAGCGCGTCAGAAACTTCGTTTTGGGTCATTGCGATAAGCTTGAAGTGCAAGAAGGATATTGGACTCTCTATTTGACTGTCATATACCAGGTGGTTAAGAATCAATATAGAGGCGCTTTTGGTTAGGGGATTTTTACCAGCAAGCTTATCTGACTGGCTTGCTTATTGTGTATGTTACCTTTAATACTAATTAAATGAATTTGAAAACCTTGGCCGTTTTTAGACTGAGGGTAGATTTTTAAGAGTACTTTTAAAACCGCGATTTAAGACGTAAATCCTAGTGAGACACTCGCTTGTTATACACCGTCATATATATCCTATCCTACCCTTTCCTAAGTAATTATTAATTACTTCTCACTTAGTCGCTCTCCCTCGACTATACATTATCTTAGACAGCTCAGCTCATACCACTATAAGTCAGACGCAGTCGTGACAGTGCCCGCTGGCGGATGCATGCCTACATGTCCCTTCTCGGGGTGCACGGCATTTCCATATGAGCCAACCCGGCCATACTGGGTAAAGCTTAGGTGTAAGCGACCGTAGTCCCACCTGCATGCGAGGAAAAGGAAAGCGAACGCGGTGCCACACAGGAGGAGGAGGTCAAGGATGCCGAAGAAAATAAGGCTCCGAGTGACACTGATGACGTTGCCACCGTCCGAGACGGCAAAGGCAATCGGGTACAGGAGCCAGAGGAGATTGACAAAGCCAGCGAGCATGGTATGGTCGCGGTCGACGGACGAGCGGTCAGTAGAGGGGCGGCGAGCGGAGGAGCGGCTTGCCCATATGGTTTGAAAGGCGAGCAGGAGGTAGGCGACAGTGCCGAAGGCGTAGAATCCCCACTTATACCGGGTGGCCGTGTAGGCAGAGCAGAGATACGAAATGATCCTATTAAAATTAGTCAGCTGGTCTATCCTTGAACGAATCCGTATATCAGAAATGCTTCACTTACCAGATCCAAGCTAGAAAGACGTTGAATAAGATGGTTGCCCAGCTTACGCCACTAATAAGTCCAAGAGCTATAATAATGATGGGGAAGGCGACGACCCAGAAAATGTATTTAGCAAAGAAGATCTGGTACGTT